ATGGAGAGAGAGAGATGTGTGACGAGCCTCCCACTGCTATAGCTGCAGACAGTCTGATTGTAACAGAGTGAGGAAACCTGAAGCCAGACCACTGAGAAAGCCCCTCCCCAATGCCTGACCTACAGAAACCATGAGAGATAATAAATGACTGTAATGTAAAGCCACTAAGCTTAGGGGCAATTTGTTACGCAGCAACTGGTAACTGATACAACCACTATGCTATGCTCAGAAAACAGCAGTTGCCATGGGCCCTGGGGTCCTTGGATAATGCAAAAGGTTAACGCACTAGCCGGCTAACTGAAAGGTTGGAGATTTGAGTCCACCCAGAGTTGCTTCAGAAGAAAGCCCTAGATATCTACTTCCAAAAAAATTGGCCACTGAAAACCCTACGGAGCACAGTTCTACTCTGACACACACAGGGTCACCATGAGTTGGAATCGACTTGACAGCAACTGGTGGTGATGGATTTCAAACCCGTCCACACTGGCCCCTGCTAATCAATACTGACCCAATCAACTTTGTTGGCCACCCATGATTTCAGGTGTGGAACTGCATGAGGGAGGGGGCTGGGGGTACTGACCTGTTTTGAAGGCTCAGAGCTATCTGGAGTGGGAATTTCTGGAATAAGACGGAAAAGAAGAGGAGGCGGCTTGAGGAGAGACTGTCAGGGTCTGCAATGGACAGGTGTTGTTTCACTTTCCCAGTATCCACTCCTCCTGCATTTGATAACAGCACCCCAATTTCTCTTTGGGAACTCCTCTTCAACACTGTATAAGTCAATCAGGTGCTCCACATCCCTGGTCAAGGACAGTGACCCAAGTGAGGCTATCCCCTCGTGAGAATTTGAAGCCAGAGAACTGGGAGGTGGCATCATCTCCACAGTGGGGTCCTGAAGGAACTGCCCGCTGGGGCAGCTCCCTGGGGCTGCCCCGCTCTCTGCCCTTTTGGATGCTGAATCCTTCTGACTGCCCTTCAAGTCTGTGAGTTTCCTCATACCCTGCCATTAATCTCATTTTGGGTGAAAGTTAGCTGGATTAGTTTCTGTTGCTGGCTACCAAAGAATACTGGCTGATATAAGGGGCTGAGACTGTGGCTTCCTAACAGAATTGGGTGGTGTCTGAAGTCAGGGTCCAGGGCACAATAAAGACTATATTTTCCACCATCTTTTGCAGCTAAGTTTGTCCATGTAACTAGGTTCTGGCCAATAGGATGTAAGAGGGAGTGCTGTGTACTTCCCAAAAAGGAGGGGTATGCCCCTCTTCATGCCTCCCTCGTTCATGCTGGCTGGAATGAAGATGTGAAGGCTGGAGCAAGTGCATCCATCTTGGAGAGTGAAAGCCACATGCTGAGGATGGCACTGGAGCAACAAATGAAAAAGGAGCTGTAGAACCTGGTGATCGTAGAGACAGCACACCAATGCTTCACTGCCTACTTTTGGATTTCTTTCCCATGACAGAGAAACAAATTTCTGTCTCACTGAAACCACTATTATCTGGAGGTTTTCTGTCACAAGCCTCAGAATTGCTACAGTGTGAATGCCTGCTTCTGGGATGAGGGTCCATTTACGACTTTCATCAGATTCTCAGAAGGGATCCTGATGCCCCCACCCCCCTAGAACCATAGGCAAAATGAATTGAGGCTGACGGAATAGTGGGTATCTTGGGGGGTGTTTTCTGAGAAAGGCCCAAGGGCATCTGCTGGGGGCTTGATCTGGGTGGGATCTACAAGTAGGCAAAAGTTCACGAGCTATGCCCTGAAAATCTTTGCATTTTACTGTGTGTATATATGTCTTAGTTATCTAGTGCTGCCACAACAGAAATACCACAAGTGGATGGCTTTAACAAAGAGAAATTTATTCTCTTACAATCTAGGAGGCTAGAAGTCCAAATTCAGGGTGCCAGTTCCACGGGGAGGCTTTCTCTTTCTGTTGGCTCTGGGGGAAGGTCCTTGTCATCAATCTTCACCTGGTCTAGGAGCTTCTCAGCACAGGGACCCCGGGTCTAAAGGACACATGCTCCTGGCTCTACTTTCATGGTGGTATGAGGTCCCCCTATTTCTCTGCTCACTTCTTTTATGTCTCAAAAGTGACTGACTTAAGCCACAACCTAATCTTGTAAATTGAGCCCTTACTTATTAACGTGTTGTTGTTAGGTGCCGCTGAGTCGATTCTGACTCATAGTGACCCTATGTACACAGAACAAAACACTGCCCAGTCCTGCCCCATCCTCACAATCGTTATGCTTGAGCCCATTGTTGCAGCCACTGTGTCAGTTCATCTCGTTGAGGGTTTTCCTCTTTCTCACTGACCCTCTACTTCACCAGGCATGATATCCTGCTCCAGGGACTGATCCTCCTGATAACATGTCCAAAGCATGTGAGATGTAGTCTCACCATCCTTGCTTCTAAGGAGCATTCTGGCTGTATTTCTTCCAAGACAGATTTGTTCGTTTTTTTGGCAGTCCATGGTATATGTAATATTCTTCACGAACACCATAATTCAAAGGCATCAATTCTTCTTCTGCCTTCCTTAGTCACTGCCCAGCTTTTGCGTGAGTATGAGATGACTGAAAACACCATGGCTTGGGTCAGGCGCACTTTAGTCCTTAAAGTGACATCTTTGCCTTTTAACACTTTAAAGAGGTCTTTTCCAGCAGATTTGCCCAAGGCAATGCGTCATTTGATTTCTTGGCTGCTGCTTCTGAGGGTGTTGATTGTGGATCCAAGTAAAATAAAATCCTTTACAACTTCAGTCTTTTCTTTGTTTATCATCACGTTTCTTACTGGTCCAGTTGTGAGGATTTATGTTTTCTTTATGTTGAGGCGTAATCCATACTGAAGGCTGTGGTCTTTGATCTTTATCAGTAAGTGCTTCAAGTCCTCTTCACTTACAGCGAGCAAGGTTGTGTCATCTGCATATCGCAGGTTGTTAACGAGTTTTCCTCCAATCCTGATGCCCTGTTCTTCTTCATATAGTCCAACTTCTCGGATTATCTGCTCAGCATACAGAATGAATAAGTATGGTAAAAGGGTACAACCCTGATGCGCACCTTTTCTAACTTTAAACCACGTGGTATCCTCTTGTTCTGTTCAAACCACTGTCTCTTGATCTATGTATAGGTTCCTCATGAGCACAATTAAGTGTTCTGGAATTCCCATTCTTCGCAATGTTATCCATAATTTATTATGATCCACACAGTTGAATGCTTTTGTATAGTCAGTGAAACACAAGTAAACATCTTCCTGGTATTCTCTGCTTTCAGCCAGGATCCATCTGACGTCAGCAATGATATCCCTGGTTCCATGGCCTCTTCGGAATCCGGCTTAAATTTCTGGCAGTTCCCTGTTGATGTACTGCTGCAACCACTTTGGAATGATCTTCAGCAAAACTTTATTTGCGTGTGATATTAATGATATTGTTCAATAATTTCCAAACTCTGTTGGATCACCTTTCTTTGGAATGGGCACAAACATGGATCTGTTCCAGTCAGTTGGCCTGGTAGCTGTCTTCCAAATTTCTTGGCATACACAAGTAAGCACTTCCAGCGCTGCTTCAGTTTGTCGAAACATCTCAACTGGTATTCCGTTGATTCCTGGAGCCTGTTTTTTGTCAATGCCTTCAGAGCAGCTTGGACCTCTTCCTTCAAGTACCACAGGTTCCTGACCATATGCTACCTCCTGAAATGGTTGAACATCGACCAATTCTTTTTGGTATAGGGACTCTGTATATTCCTTCCATCTTCTTTTGATGCTTCCTGTGTCATAACTGCTGCTAATCCCACCTCATTAGCATCAAAGAGGTAGGATTTACAACACATAGGAAAATCACATCAGATGAAAAAATATGGACAATCACACAATACTGAGAATCATGGCCTAGCCAAGTCGGCACACATTTTTGGAGGACACAATTCAATCCATGACATATGTTCCTCATAAAAAAAGTGCAAGAAACGTTGAAAACTGCTGAGAATGATGATGAGGATGATGATGACTAACATTTTCATGAGGAGGGCTCCTTCTGTGCTATGTATTGTTTGAAACACTTTGTACTAATCTACTGTCTCAGGCTGGGTTCTCTAGAGAAGCAAAACCAGTAAAGCATATAAATATATATAGAGAGAAAAATTTATATCAAGGAAATCGCTCATATGGTTGTAGAGGCTGGAACGTCCCAAGTCCGTGGATCAGGATAGAGGCCACAGGGGCTGGCGAACTCAAGATCGACAGGTCAAAGAGCAGGGGTCTTGCTCACAGGCTGCGAAGATAGAAGAATCCCAAGATCAGCAGGCAAGATTGCAGGTAAGCCGCCAGCTCAAGTCCCAAGAACCAGAGGTCAGAGGAACAGGAGCCAGCTGCAGGGTCCAGAATCAGCAAAAGCCCTCAAGCCTTGCCAGAATGTTATATATTCAGATGTAGGCCACACGCCCAAGGAAACTCCCTTTCAACTGACTGGCTACTCACGGCAGATCCCATCATGGAGATGATCACATATCAAATCTCAACAAGGAAGTGATCACAACATTATACAACTGCCAAAATACTGATAATCATGGCCCAGCCAAGCTGACACACAATCTTAACCATCACACCAACTCCAAACTCACAATAATCTTCTAAGTTAGGAACAATGATCACCAGTTACCAGATGCCATTGAATTGACTCCGACTCTAGACCACCCCACGTGTGTCAGAGTAAAACTGTGCTCCATAAGAGTTTTCAACGGCTGATTTTTCAGTAGATGACCAGGCCTTTCTTCCGAGCTATCTCTGGGTGGACTTCAACTTCCAACCTTTCGGTTAGCAGCTGAGCACATTACCAATTTGCACCACCCAGGGACTCCAGGAACAAAGATGAGGAACTGTGATGACACCCCCTTTTCCAGATGAGGAAACCGAGCACAGAGAGGTGAAGGACTTGCCCAAGTCCACGTGGCCAGCCGGGGTGGGGCTGGGATGCCAGGGCCTGGGAGAGAGGAGTGGCTGGCTCTGGGGGTACTCACGGAGTCCTTCAGCGCCAGGAAACAGTGGCAGATCCAGCGTCGAGTGGTCCCATCGCGGCAGATATAGGAGAAAGCCTTGTCCAGGTTGCGGTCAGGAGCACAAAAGGAGACCTTTTCGATGGTCTGGTCTACGAGCAGGTCCTGGGGAAGGACCAGGGAGGGCAGGAGAGGAAAATGAACTGTCTTTCACACATTTATCCAACATTCCATTAGTGTCTGCTCGATGGCCAATCTTGAACGGGGTGGAGACCCAGCACTCACTGAGACAGTAAGGGAATCAGACCCATCACCACATAGGGACAGCCCAGAGTCACAGAGGCTACAATGGGGGCAGGATAGGGGAGGCATAGGGGGAGGGGCCAGCCAGGACAGGGGAGGCACAGGAGGACAGGGGGAGGAGTGGACAGAGAGGTCAAACCAGGAGAGGTTGGGGGATGGGACGAGGGAGGCACAGACAGAGGGTAGGGAAAGGACAGGCGCAGGCAGAGGGGTAGGGCCAGGCCGGGGAAGGCACAGGCAGAGGAGCTGGGGCGCAGGTGGAGAGATCAGCGCACAGGTGGAGGAGTCGGGCCAGGATCAGGGGGCACAGGCAGACGGATCAGGCTAGCCTGGGGGAGGCACAGGTGGAGGTGTTGGGGCACAGGTGGAGGGGTCGGGCTGGGATAGAGAGGCACCGATGGAGGTGCTGGGGCACAGGTGGAGGGGTCAAGCTGGGATGGGGAGGCACAGGTGGAGGCATCAGGCTGGGGGAGGCACAGGTGGAGGGGTTGGGCTGGGTGGGAGGGCAACAGCAGAGGGGTTGGGGCACAGGTGGAGGGGTCAGGCTGGGGGAGGCACAGGTGGAGGGGTTGGGCTGGGATGGGAGGGCAACAGCAGAGGGGCTGGGGCACAGGTGGAGGGGTCAGGCTGGGATGGGGAGGCACAGGTGGAGGTGTTGGGGCACAGGTGGAGGGGTCAGGCTGGGGGAGGCACAGGTGGAGGAGTCAGGCTGGGACGGGGAGGCACAGGTGGAGGTGTTGGGGCACAGGTGGAGGGGCCGGGTCTGTGATGGAGGAGGCACGGGCAGAGTGGTTAGAGCTGGGATTGAGGGGGCATGGGGCTGTGGGAGTCAGGAGAGGTCAGTAGGCGGAGCTTCCTGGAGGAAGAATTCACTAAGCAAAAAGGCAAGGAACAGTATTTCTGGCAGAGAGAACTTCCTGTGCAACTGTGGGGATCGGTTCACTCATTAACCCAATTCCCATCACATCTAGGTGCCCCCTCCAGCAGTCTCTGGGTCCAGGCAGAGGAGCCAGTGGTGAGCAAACAGACACCCAGATGCTGGCCCCACGGCACTCCAGGTCCATCTGGGCAAACTGATGCTCATTGAGCTGAGCGCTCACGATGTGTCAGGCACAGTTTTCAGCACTTTACATATATGGTCTCATTTAACGGTAGAATCTATTTTTATCCCCATTTTATAGATGAGGCATCTGAGGCACAGAAGGATAAAATCTCGTACCCAGGGTCACCCAGCTAGTAAGCAGGTGAGCCTGGCTCCAGCAGTCCCCCTGCTGTCTATACCAGCTCACAGATAACCACAGGAATCATCTCTGAATTACGACTGTGAGGTGGGCCAAGAAAGTGATACAAGAGCACACGGCATAGTCTGGAAGGTCCCTGAGGAAGGGACGTCCCAGACGTGGGTGGGAGGGTATCCTCAGCCCCGATTCCAGCAGGGAAAGGCGAGGGGCTGACTGGTGCCCGCCCCCACAGGCCCCCTACCTTGGTCTTGTCGTCCACCACTCGGAGCCCATCGGCTGATACCCACAGGACAGATTTCACGGACTTCCGGCCCATCTGGAGTAAAGGGGGCACAAAGAGGCCTGGTCAGGGCTGCCTCAGCGGGCCTGAGCTTGCCCCTCCCTGGCTCCAGCCCCTCACTCACCGCCTTCAGCTTCTTCACAGCATCTTCACACACGTGCATCCCCCGGGACTCCTCCACCTCCACGTGGCCCAGGTACTGAGCGAGGGGACAGGAGGACCAGAAATAAGCAGTTTTCAGTAACTCCTGCATTCAGTGAGCGCTTGTGATATACCAGGCAACGTTCCAAGCACGTTAAACACGTGAACTCATTTATCCTGCACCTCATCTCTACAAAGAGGATACTCCATTTTTATCCCAGTTATACAGATGCGAGGAGCCCTCGTGGCGCAGTGGCTAAGCGCTTGGCTACTAACCGAAAGGTCAGCGGTTCGAACCCACCAGTTGCTCCACAGGAGACAGCTGTGGCATCTGCTTCCATAAAGCCTGCAGCCTTGGAAGCCCTATGGGGCAGTTCTATTGTGTCCTATAGGATCGCAGTGAGTCAGAATCAACTCAACGGCAAAGAGTTTGGGTTTGTTATGGTTTATACAGATGAAAAAACTGAAGTACAATGTGTAGCAGTGGATTTGTGTGCCCTGTCCTGGTGGCACAGTGATTAAGAGCTCGGCTGCTACACACTACAGGGGAAGTCAGCACAACTGGACTAAACCAAAGCTAAGAAGTTTCCTGAATATAACCAAACACTTCAGGGGACAGAGCAGCAGGGGCAGGGGTCTGGGGACCATGCTTTCAGGAGACATCTAGGTCAACTGGCATAACAAAGTTTATTAAGAAAATGTTCTGCATCCTACTTGGGTGAGTGGGGTCTGGGGTCTTAAAAGCTAGTGAGCAGCCATCTGAGATGCATCAACTGGTCCCAACCAACCTGAAGCAAAGGAGAATGAAGAACACCAAAGTCACAAGAAAAATATTAGCCCAAGAGACAGAAAGGGCCACATACACCAGAGACTGCATCAGCCCGAGACCAGAAGAACTAGATGGTGCCTGGCTACCACCAATGACCGCCCTGACAGGGATCAAAACAGAGTCCCCGATGGAGCAGGAGAAAAGTGGGGTACAGAACTCAAATTCTAGTAAAAAGACCAGACTTAATGGTCTGACTGAGACTGGAGGAACCCCAGAGAGCAGGGCCCCTGGACTCTCTGTCAATCCAGAACTAAAACCATTCCTGAGGTCAACTCTTCAGACAAAGATTAGACTGGACTATGGGACATAAAATGATACTTGTGAACAATGTGCTTCTTAGCTCAAGTAAATACATGAGACTAAATGGGCAGCTCCTGTCCAGAGGCGAGATGGGAAGGCAGAGAGAGTCAGGAGCCGGTTGAATGGACACGGGAAATCTGGGGTGGAAAGGAGGAGTGTGCTGTCACAGTATAGGGAGAGCAACTGGGGTCACATAATAGTGTGTATAAATGTTTGTATGAGAGACTAACTTGAATTGTAAACTTTCACTTAAAGTACAATAAAATAAAAGAGCTCAGCTGCTAACCTAAAGATTGGCAGTTCGAATCCATCAGCCACTCCTTGGAAGCTCTATAGGGCAGTTCTACTCTGTTCTACAGAGCTGCTATGAGTCAGAATCCACTCAAAGGCAATGGGTTTTTTGTTTGTTTTTGCCCATATTCCTAGGCCTTAACACTTCACTGTTTTCCCTGAGTACCAGTATCTCTGTGCCTGAGGCCTGCCCCCAGGCTGCATACAACTGCTCACCCACCCTTAAAAGAAGTATGCCCACAAAATGACTGATGGGATTGGTGTACACAGGCCCTAGCTCCCTCACCCCGTGGGATGGCTAAGGCTGTTTCCCAGAGTTTCTCGGTGGGATTAAGCTTCAGTTGTCCACAGCCACAGTTTAATAACACACCTTATCGGTTACCTTCCCTTCCTTACTCCCACCAGCATTTCCTGCACCTCCCAAACGAACCTCTCACACTCAGGGTCTCCTTCTGGGGGAAGGGATAAGGCAAAGGCACTATGACCACGGTCCATGGCCACACAGCCAGAAAGGGGCTGAGGGTGGATTTGAACCCTCGTCGGCTGACCCCCACAGCCCATGCCCTGAATCCTGCTGTCTCCCATACAAAACTGCAGCGTAAGTCGAAAAGAGTCGTGGTTGTCGTAAACCAGAAGGCGTTTCACAGCAGTGGACTCTACAAATGTTTACAGAATTTTTGTGCCCTTTGGAAATCGTTAGCTCCTGCTAAACAGGTGACACCCTCCCTCCTCAATGTTTCCCAGGTGGTATCTTCCTGGAGCAAGGTAATGTCTCTTGGTTTTTCATACCATCTTTGAAAGGCGCATGAGGTGGTGGCCTTCTCCGGTAGACTCCACAGTTCTCTGAGAATGTGACGTCTTTTCCTGGTGGGATAGGGCCTTAGCGATCTAGCCCAAACCCAAACCCATTGCCATCGAGTACATTCCTACTCATAACAACCCTACAGAACAGAGTAAGTACAACCGCCTCATAGGGTTTCCAAGGAGCAGGAGGTTGATTCGACCTGCTGACCTTTTGGTTAACAGCCGAGCTCTTATCTAGCTCAAAACCTCGTTGCCACTGAGCGGAATCGGACTCATAGCAACCCTATAGAAAATAGTACAACTGCCCCATAGGGTTTCCAAGGAACAGCGGGTAGATTTGAACTGCCCACCTTTGGGTTAGCAGCTGTAGCTCTTAACCACTGCGGTAGCAGGGCTCCAGCTAACCATCTAGCCCAGCACCCCACAAAAGGCTGCCCTAGTGCCCTGGCACCCTGCGCACAGCAGCCCCGCCCCCTCCGCCCCGGTCCCGCCCACTCACCCTAACTGGGAAGCTGCACGTGCCCTTGCGCACCGCGTCCTCGTCTGCCTGCCATTGGTGCGGGCGCGAGGCCTCAGGCACGTAGGCTGGCTTCTTCCGCCGCAGGCTCTGGCGTAACTTGTTCATGGTGCCCGCACCGTCTGATGACACAGGTCAGGGGCGTGGGTCAGGGATGTGGGGTTCAAGGGGCAGGGACGTGGGGTTCAAGGGGCAGGGACGCAGTGCTCAGGGGGCATGGAGTCACAGAACATGTGAATTGGGTCACAGGGTTAGGGGGCCACTGGGTGAGAGGACATGGCATTTAGGGGGCACGGGATTACAGCTCGTGGTCAGGGGACATGGCATTCAAAAGACATGGGGAAAGGGGGTATTGGAAGGCAAGGATGGTGAGCACAGGGGCAATGGGCATCTGAAGACGGGTAAGCACAAAGGTTTGGGGTGGGGATCATGGGTCACAGGTTTGAGGGGTTTGGGGGCTGGGGAATGTGACAGAGGCATGAGGATCTAAAGGATGGGAAGTCAAGGCATTGGAGGGCATAGAGGTCATGGGTTATGAGGTCGGGTTTTAGGGGTATGAGGGTCAGGGGATGGGGCAATCAGAGGGCACTGGAATTAGTAGTTGCATGGGTCAGGGGCACAAGTCAGGTGTGTGGGGCACAGTGGTCAGGGGATTCAGAAGGTCTGGGGATTGAGGACTGGAGCCCAGGGTCCAGAGGGTGTGGGAGATAGGAATTTGTCTCTGTGCCACTCCTGTGTCACGCCTGTGTCTACTCTGAGGAAGGGGCCCTGGAGCGGTGTGTGCCTTGCCCGTCAGAGGTATGGCTGTGTGTTTTTGTGTGTGTGTGTGAAGTGGTCAGCCATCAGGACAGTCTTCCTTTACTGATAAGCCACACTGAAGAGTCCCAGGAGGAGGGTGAAGGGTCTTGATGGTGAGGGGATACCCAGGATTAAGAGCACGCACAGTAGATGGAGAATCTGTGCCCGTGTGCAAGTAAGCATGCAGCTGTTGTCTATGAGTGTGTATTCCTGAATGGTGTCTGTGTGTGCTCTCTGAAGGCTGTATAGAAGGATGCATGTTGGAGGATGGCTGTTCATAGCGTATCTGTGAATGCTGTCCATGAGGGGCTGTTTCCCAAAGTGTGGTGGTTGTCTATGAGTGGTTGTGAGTGTGTCAGTGAATGTTGTCTGTGAGGGGTGTCTATGTCTGTTGTTGTCTATGAGAGCATGTGTGTCAGTGAAGGTTGTCCATGAGAGGTGTCTATGTCTGTTGTTGTCTATGAGAGCTTGTGTGTCACTGAAGGTTGTCCATGAGGGGTGTCTGTGTCCACTGTTGTCTATGAGAGCTTGTGTGTCACTGAAGGTTGTCCATGAGGGGTGTCTGTGTCCACTGTTGTCTATGAGAGCTTGTGAGTCACTGAAGGTTGTCCATGAGGGGTGTCTGTGTCCACTGTTGTCTATGAGACCTTGTGTGTCAATGAAGGTTGTCCGTGAGAGGTGTGTGTGTTCGTTGTCTATGAGAGCTTGTGTGTCAGTGAAGGTTGTCCATGAGGGTGTGTCTATGTTTAAACATAAAGCAGTTGTCTTTGGAAGAGTGTGTCCACAACTACTGTTTGTGACACTGTCTTGGTGTGAGGTTGTAGCTACTGTCTTTGATGGCTGTTGCCTGTGAGGGTGTCAGTCCATGAGAGTTGCCCAAGAGACTGTGTCTGTGTCCAGGAGTGCACCTGTTGGTGGTGAGACTGTCTGTGAAGGTTGTTTGTGAGGGAGTGTCTCTGTCAGAGCATGTGGTGTTGGCTTAGAGAGCATGGGTTCATGGGGTTGTTGTGAGGCTGTGTCTGTATGCAAGTGTGCCCCTGTAACGGTCTGTGAGAACGAGGTTGTTATCTTTGATAGTGTCCACGAGTGTTACTTGTGAGGATATGACTTTGTGTGAGAATGTGACCGACGTCTACGAGAGTGCTGTGGATTTCTTGTGAGGCGGTGTCTATGTGCAAAAGTAGGGCTGTTTGTGAGAATGAGCATCCACAGGGCTGTCTGTGAGGCTGTGTCTGTGGAAGTGTAGTTGTTGTCTGAGTGTGTGAGTCTGTGCATGTTGTCTGTGAGACTGTGCAAGAGTGTGTCTCTTGACAGCATGCTATCTGGTCAGAGAGCCCGTGGTCACCTGTGAGTCTGGGTGTTCTCTGGGAATGAGTGTGTGTGTCTGTGTGGATCCACCCATTGGGAACATGCGTGTCTGTAGGTTGGTGTAACTGTCTCCTTAAGCACATCTCCCAGCGTGCCTGTCACGGTGTTCACGCACATATGTGGATCTGAACGAGCTTGTCATCCATCCATGTGTATCTGACTGAATGTTTGTGGATGAGTATCTGGGGTGTGTGAGTCAGTGGTGGCGGTGTGACTCTGCCCGAGGGTGTGGGAATGCTGGTGCAGTATGAGTGTCCGGGTGTATGTGTAAGAGTCTAGGGTGTGTGTCTGTGAATGAGTGTGGCTTTGATGGCCAGTGTACAGGGAGGAGGTTTGTGAGAGTGTCCACTCATAAGTGTGCTTAAGCCTGTGTGACTAGGGGGACCGTCCCTCTGGTCATGCTAGGCAGACCCACCCGCCCACTCAGCCCCTGGCCTGTCCCAAGCTGGTCACTCACCTGGCTCCGTCCTGGAGGTTGCAGGGGGCCCCAGGGCCCCGCAAGGGGCTGGGGGCAGATGCTGCTCAGGCCTCCTGGGTCCGCCCTGCCGAAGGGAGGGAGAAGGTGAGAAGCTTTCTTGGGGTGGGGCTCAGTCCCCTTCTCCACCCCACCTTTGTACAGCAGCCAACCCCCTCCATCTCAGGCTCCCTGATGAAGGCTCTGGCTGCCATGACAACTGTATCCAGGGAGATCAGCCACCTGGTTCCAAGGGCCCAGGAAGGAGTAGTTGTGTTTGGGGGAGCATTTGTTGGGGATGCCCTGGCCTGAGGAGACCCTCAGTGCCCAAGGGGATGGTGTGAGGAAGGAGTGACCTTGCCCTCTAGACACATGTCCTGGGCTGCACACAGAGTCACACGTGCGCAGCCAACTCATGTCTCCAGTCGTCCCTAGCCCCCAGGCACGCCTAGGCACATCTAGTTACACACAGACACAACCACAGCTACACAAATGCGACCACACACATACATATAAACAACCCCAGCCACAGAGCTGCCACTAGAAACATCTGGTCCCATACTCGCATTCCCAGACACACACAGTCTTTGCTACATTGTCCAAACATGTATGAAGAGTCACAACCCACCCACAAACATAAGTCACACCAGCTACTTCTATGTGGTCTCATATTTTCACAGTCATGTGTAAAGAGCGGGGCCCAGGCACACCCACCAGAGCCGCACAAGTACAATCACACCCAATGACAGTTATATTTCCTCAGGCACCCGAAGAAACTCACGTCACAGACCCAGCCGGACATAATCACACCCAACCACGGTTCATCCATTTGGTCAGCCCTAAGCACCTGGTCACATCCAGACACAACCACAGCTATGCACGTTTGTCACATGTCTCCACAGGTACATGTTTACACCTGGTCAAGGACGTGCTCAGACTTACACACATTCAGTCACACACAGCCATACGGGCACGCGTGTGGTCACCACAGGCACATAACTGCATATGGACCCTCAACCCCAACCACGTCAGTCACAGCGACACACCTTTTTAGTCACACGTACCCAGTCACAGATGCACACATTTGATCACAATGTCAGCCACACCTATATGGACAGTCATCTGTACACAGTCACACACACAGATGCCCACGGCTGTAGCCCTATGCGTTACAGAGAAACGGGGCCACACTCAGGCCCAGCCAGTGGTTCAGTCAGAGCATCCACAGTAACAGCTCCATTTTCAGAAATGGTCCTGTACGCTCAGTCACACAGCGCCAGTGTCCACACTACCCGGACACCCATCTCAGCCGTACTACCACCACATGACGCCCCCCACACAGACATACAAGTCACATCATCGCAGAGAAACACGCGCAGACGTGCAGGCACACAAGTCACGTAGAGAAATATGGAGCCACCAATAATCACGGCCCCGTGTGGCCCAGCACACAAAGTCACACCTGGCAGCCACGCACAGTATCTCTCAACTGGAGGCTTAGGCACAGTTTGAGTTTCACACAAGTACAGTCAGGGGTGTGCACAGGAATGCAGAGACCCAGGTGTGCATGATGGCTGCTGGGTTTACACAAGAGATGTAGCCCCTGACAGAGCCACACACACAGTCAGGGTCCTGTCACCAAATCATACAGATTCAAACATAAGTAGTCCAATACCCTCACATAAATACGTACAACAAAGTCAGCCGTACAGCTACAGACACACGCACGTACAGCCATCCAGGGTCACAGATACGCAGGTCACACACAGGCATAGGGAAGCCACTGTCATCTACACTACCCTGACAAACACAGTTACCTGGTACCGCCAACAAAGACCACATGGACACACATGTAGCCTTAGTCACACAGTTAAATACTCTACAGTCATCAGCCGGGGTTTCAGACACTAAGTCAAATACATAACCGAAAGCACACATACACAATTATAAATACAATCACTCAGTATCACACACATGCAGACGGATGAAGTTTATTTATCCAACCCCAGTCACATGCACAGACATGGCTATGGACGCACAACCATTGTCATATACGCATACAGCCACAGGGCCATCGCACAGCCCCAGGCACACAGCCCAACGGGACTTCATACACAATGGCAGTCACACACCTAGTTGTACAGACAGTTGTGTGTCAAACGTGTGTGACACACATGTAAAATGAGTTGTAAACACAACCACGAACATTCACAGGCAATGAGAGTCACACATGGACCTCGAGTCGTAGACACAACTCCAGTTACACACATAGCCACAACTCTGCCCACATCTTCAGTCAGCCACATGCCCAACGCCAGACTCACATACACCGTCACATACCCGGTTTTCATTACCAGGACACACAAACACAAGGCCACAAAAGACAACATCACAGACACAACCACACAGTCACAACCATGTACACACTCACAGACTCAACCACAGGATCCCACACATTGAGCAGCTGTCATACACGCACACACACGTTCATCCAGACTCAAATACTGGGCTCACATACAGACACGATCACAGACACAATCACACACTCACAACCACACACATGCACAACACAGTATTCCTCATAGTCACTAGCTGCAGCACACACACACAGCCATGGTCACACAAACGTGGGGTCACACTCAGCCACCTCCCCATCCCATGCCAGCCCCCTACCCCCAGGTACCACACACAAAGCCACTGTCACCGCAGGCGCAGGGCTGCCAGACGGGGTTGCACCAGGTCCCTGGGGAGCCGCCCCCAGCCCAGCCTGGATTCTGGAGCCTGGGGGGCCAGGGCTAGGAGGGGGAGGCAACCCATTGTCTGCAGGCGGGGCCGCTCCAGGACAGCTGGGCAGCCCCAGGGACAAAGGGGGTGGCCCAGGGAACCTGTGCTCTGCGACCCTTGACCAAGCCTCCGGAGTAGCTGTGCCTGAAATTCCCTTTACTCAGGCCTGGGTGGGGGGCGCCAGGCAAGGGGGGGGTGCACGCCTTGTTTTGACAGGGGGCTGTGCCTGAGACACCGCCCAAGCGTTGGGGGGATGTTGTGCCCTGGACGTCCGTGATGCCTGGGGGCGGAACTATGCCTGGAATCGCCCCAGGCTTTGGCTTGGTGGGGAAGCTGTGCCGGGGACCCCATTCTCAAGACCTTGCTAGCTCAGACGTTCCCCTCGGAAGGGGAGGGGGCAGGGATAGTGTCTGGAATCTCCTACGCGAGGCCTTGATAGGTGGGCTACGTCTGGGACTCCATCCCCAAAACCTTGCTTAGGGGGTTGTACCTAGAATCCCTGTTCCCCTGTCCTTGGCTTTTTGGGAGGACCCCTACCCTCAGGCCTTGGCAAGACATGGTCTGTGTCCGACACCCCAGTATCCTAAGCTTTAGCTTGTGGGGGCCTAACCTGGACCCCCGCACAGGACCCCCCTCCTCAGCCTTGGCACCTTCTCTCCATCCGGACGCCGCGGCCGCCTCCCACCCTCCGCCACATCAGCAGCGGCGCCGCCACCCACCCCGAGCCCCCCTCTCCCGCCCTTCTCACGCTGGCTGCCGCGCTGCGGGACATCCAGGGCCCGGGCACCCCCGCCTCCCGCGGCCCCGGCTGGGCCCGGATCCCCTAGTGCTGCTGCTGCTGCTGCTACTGTGGTGGCAGAGGCGGCGGCAGCTCGGTCAGACGCGAGTCGGAGCCCGGGGCCGGGGGATGGTGCGGGATGCACGCGCGCGAGCCTGCTCCGCTCTCCGAAGGATTCCGTTCCGGGGACGGGGGAGCGTCCCTCCTGCCTCGGCTCCCCGCCCCGGCCCCGCCCATTGGCCTGCCGCCTGCTGTATATGTGAAAAGATCCCGCCCCGGCCCTGTACCTCGCCGGCGTAAGCCCCGCCCCTAACCAGCAGACCACGCCTACACGCAAATGTGGCCCCGCCTTTTCTGGTTCGGCCACCGCCCCGCCACGCCCATTGGCCAGTCCCAGGCTGAGTATGCAAATGGCGTCCCCTGTGTCCACCCTGGCGTGGGTTCCCTTCCCCTCCGTGACCCTTGACCTCAGAGCTCCTCCGGTTCCGCGCCCGAAATAGTTGCTTCGGGAGGCGCCTCGTCTCCCGACATCCCCAAATTTTCCCGCTAACCCCAAGGTTCTCCCAGTACGGCGGGGGCGGGCAGAGGCGGTGACGAGGCACTTTTTGCAAGGAAGGGGAGGGGAGGATGAGCAGACTCTGGCGTCCCGGTGCACGATCGGTTCGGCTTCGGGGGCGGGGGCGCCGCGGCGGCGGCCAGAACCACGCCCAGGTCCCAGCCCGGCGCCCCCGCTCCCCTCCAATCCTGTGGGTTTGGCAAAGCAGCTGGCCGGGGCATTAAGGCCCATTAGCAAAGGCGAGGTTGCTGGGAGCCGAGGGGAAGCCGGGAGCCCGAGAGACGGCATGAGGGGTGGGGAGGTAGGCCTTCTCAGCTGCGACTGCCTTTCGAGCAGGTGGTCAGCACGGGGCGGGGGGCGGTGAGGGGTAGAGGGGAGGAGGTTCCCGGCAACAGATGGCCCAGGCAGGACTGGGGCTTCAGACAAGGGGGTGGAGGGGCTGGCCATCTGCACCTGGAAGCCGCCTGCGAACTCCTCCCTGCCCCCACACCCCAGCGCACAGAAAAAAGCTGGGGGAAGGGGAGGGCCGCCTTTATTAGGACTGAAGGTTCAAATCCCCCGCACCCCCTACCCCAACTCAGAGACTGGAGGCGGTGGGGAGGCAGCTGGTGGAGGAGGGAGGGGGCAAAGGTGAGGACTGCTCCACCAAGCACTGCCCCTCCCCTTTCGCAGATGGATCCTGGGAGACCTGAGCAGACGCCAGGGGCTCCCTCTAGATCAGTCTGGATCTTCAGGATTGCTTACTCGGGGCCTCAGGCTCCCTCAAATGGCGGCAGAAAAAAGGTCATGGCTTCCCTAGCTCAGGGCTCCGGGATGCCCACTTTGGAGTGGGGAGGGCGGGATCTGGGGCAGGAGGTTGAGAGTTCACCAGTCCCAGGGTTCCCAGCCTCTGGGCCAAAGAAGAGGGTAGGCACGGCAGTGAACATCAAGGGGGGCTCCCAGACCTGGAGCAAAGGGGGAAGGGCAGGAGGCGCCATGGCAGGGGATGGCCTGCCATGGGCGCCCCGGATGGAGGCTGTTGTGGGGGGCCCATAGGGGCTTCTTGGTGCCCAGAGGTCCCCTGTGGTCAGCAGGCTGCGGACTGCGGCTATCCCTGGCGACTGGCCCAGTAGCGGTGGTAGGTGTCCTGGAAGAGGTCCCGGCAGTCGATGTGGGCACGGAGGCGGGAGCAGGCCAGGAAGGCCCCTGCCAGCTTCCGGTGCAGAGAATAGGTCTCCTCAGGGGGCGGGCGCAGCCGATGCCGCAGCAGCACAGGGATGAGGTCCTGCACACGGTGGGCGGTGTCCCCCGCCCCGAAGTCGTAGGGACCCTGGGTGGCAAATGGCTCCCCCAGGATCATCACTGCCTCCACGTGGGCATCTGAGAATGCCTGGGGTGGGGGGGGGGGGCAACAGACACACTTGTGAGGACACACAGCCCTCCACCCAGCCCAGAAGAGGCCAGCGGCCCCCAGTTCTCTGCAGGGTCACAAACATAAAAAGCTCCCAACTCCCCTCAAGAGTAATAAGCAGCCCCTACTTTTTCCAGACCCTCTGGTAGACAAGCAGCCCCTATGGTGTGTGCTGTTGAATCCATTCCGACTCAGATAGAGACCCTACATGACACAGAACTGCCCCATAGGGTTTCCTAGGCTCTAATTTTAAGCGAGCAGACCACGGATCACCAGGTCTTTCTTTTCTCCTGCGGAGCCGCTGGTGGGTTTGAACCACCGACCTTTTGGTGAGCAGCTGAGCCCTTAACCACTGCACCACCAGGGCTCCTAAGCAGCCCCTACTCCTCCCCAAATAAACGCTCCTTTCTTCCTCTCAGTGCCCACAAGACAAGCACCCTCCACATTCTAGGACAGACAAGTAGCCCCCACTGCCCCAGGCCCTCCTGTACAGACCAGCAGCCCCCCACGCCCCCAGAATAGACAAGTAGTGCCCGTTTTCCCAGAGTTCCCGGGGTAGTCAAGCAGCATCCATTCCCCTCCCTCCCCAGAGCCCCCCAGTATAGATAAGCAGCCCCCCTAGAGTTCCCCCAGTGTAGACATACAGGCTCCTCTCTTCCAAGTAGAGACAAGCAGCTCCCATCCCCTCTCCATCCCCAGGAGCCCCCAGAACAAACCCCAGCCCCCTACTCCCCCAGTGTCTCCCAACCTTGGTTTCAAAGCCTGTGAGGAATTTGAGGTCTTGGGATTTCTGCAGGACCTTCTCTCTGTCCCCATCAGCTGCAGCCTTCACCACCTGGGGAGATGGGTGTGGGGAGAGGGTCAAAGGCCAGCAGGGGCTCAAGGGGGGTCTGGGGAACTGGAGATGGGATGTAGAAGCCTGGCTCTCCCTGGCACCCACCTCCACTCTCACCCACCTGAGCCTCCCACCCAGAAGCCTCTCCTCCCCACCTTGCCTGGTCAGTGTGTGTCTCCCTCCATGCTGTTCCAAAGACTGGGGGAGGGCGGCCCAGGGTTCTGCCTGGCTGCCTGGGCTCTACCACTGAGACACAGCACAGAGGGAGACAGCTCACATGCTGCCCGTGTGTCCAAATACTCCACCAGACAAGGTGACCGTGACCCTGAGCTGCATCCGAGGTTGCCACTGGGCCATGTCTAGGACCGTCTGGTTGACGTCTGTCTCCCACACTAGACTCTGAGTCCCGTAGGCACAGGGACCCCATTGGGTTGGGGCCCACATGCACAGGGCCTGGCACTCAGGAGGCCTTGGTGAACCTGTGACACATCTGGGTGTGGACAGCGCCCCTCTCTACAGCCATGTGCCCACTTAGGGAGGCAGGAGTTCGGCAGGGAGGCTGCAGCAGGCCTGCTGGGTTCAATCCTGGCTCTGCCACCTGCTGGCTGAGGACTCTGGGCAAGGCGCTTTACCTCTCGGCCTCCGCGTTGTCATCTGTGAAGTGGGGGTGATGAAAGTGCCTTCCTCGTGGGGTTGTTGTGAGGATAAAGGGGAGGTCTATATGAAGGGCTTAGCCCTACACACACAGGAAGCGCCATCCAATTACGAGCTTCTGTTACTATGACTTGGAGTCAACTTGCCGGCAACAGGTTCGGTTCTTTGGTTTCATTAGTGTGAAAGCGTGGGTATGAGGGTCCCTGCCTCACAGGCCTGAGGCGAGGGGCATGGCCAGGCCTGGAACCTGGGTCAGTCTGGCCCCCAAATCAAACCCTTAACCACTGTGCTGCCCTTTCTCGGGGGAGGGGCACGCACTTCTGTTCTGGCTCCCCTCCGCCCCCTCTGCCAGAGCCTGTCTGGCCATCTGTCAGGCCTCTGGTCCTTGGGGGCTCCTGTGACAGGGCTTTTTAACTAGACAAGGCTGGGGAGGTGGCAGGAGGACCTTGCTAAGCAGCCTGGAAGGGGTGGGGGGATCAGGATGTCCAAATGACCAAGAGAGGCCTTGGCTTTGTGCCTCATTCTGTGACCCACAGAGGGCCCCAGGGGACCTGGGGCAGGGCGGCAGCTCCACCTTCCTGTCTGCATCTCAGGGGGTGGGTCCACCCTCCTCCATCCCCAGGCCGGGGCCCTGGGCCTTGTCCTGCCCATCTCCTGCCCTCCAGCCATCAGCTCCCACGAATTATCCACTAAGGTCTCTCCCAACTGCCTCCTCTTTCCCTCTCCACAGCCTTCTCAGGATCCCGGTCTTAAAGACCAGCCCTTATTCAGAGGGAGCTTTCTAACTGACTAGGCCCCTCCTCTGTTCAAATCTCTTCTGTGGCTCCCCAGTGCACTGGGATAAAGACCGACTCCAAAGGATGGCCTCTGAGCCCCAGGGGGATTTTGCTCCGGCCTCATCTCTGGTTCCTGCCCCTCCCAGTCAGAACGTGTACACGTGTACTTCTTTTGGGTCCTCTAGGGAGCCCCTGCATAGCACAAATGGTTAACACGCTCAGCTGCTAACTGAAAGGTTGCAGGTTTGAGCCCACCCAGACGCACGTCAGAAGAAAGACCTGGCAATCTATTTCTGAAAAGTCAGCCACTGAAAACCCTCTGGAGCACAGTTCTACTCTGACACACACGGGGTTGCCATGAGTTGGGGTCAACTCAACAGCAACTACATGGAGGGCCTGACCACTCGAAGTGTGGTCCCCATACAGGTGGCTCTGGTATCACCTACAGCGCGTTAGAAACACAGAATCCTGTGCCCAGCTCCAGACCTACTCACCAGAATCGGCATTTCACATTAAACGTGCAGAAGCTCTGTGTTAAGGATTGTGTGCCCCCCCACCAAAATGTGCTGAAATCCTAATCTCTGTACCTGTGGAGGTGACCCTATTTGGAAACAGGGTTTAACCTTTGTTATGTTAATGAGGTCATACCAGTGCAGGGTGGGTCCTAAACCTAATCACTTCTGAGTTCCAAAAAAGGACAGACTAGACACAGAGACACACACACGTGGGGGAAGACAGACACCACATGAGACTCGTCTACAAGCCAAGGAATGCCCAGAGCTACAGACAAGGGAGGGACTGATCGACACAGCCGAGACCTTGATTTGGACTTTTAGCTTCCAGAACCGTGAGCAAATAAATTTCTGTTCGTTAGAGCCACCTACTTGTGGTGTTTGTATTACAGCAACACTAAGTAAGACACACTGCTCTAATGGGAACATCTCTTCTCACCTCTTGGCCTTTGCAC